GGGAACCGGCGGGGAGCGGCTGCGGCTGCCGGGCCTCATTCTCTATACCTTCCGTATGATCATGGCCAAGACAGCTGCCGACCGCAGGAACGTCAAGCAGGTGCCACGTCCTGGGGTGCAGGGCTGGGTCCCAGACTCACCCCAGCCAGGCCTCTCACCACCACTGCGCCCCACTTTACCAGCCGCCTGCTAGCCCCAGGATAGAGCCAAGGGCTTCTCAGACGGACCCAGGGCTGCTTTGCCGTCAGCGGGAGGCCCGAGGAGCGGCCTGGGAGCTGCACATCTGCCTCCAGCCTCCACTCTAAGGGCTGGAGGAGTGTTTTGCAGATGTCGAGTTTTAACCGGTTTGGTCTTGTGAGCACATATGTACAATTAGCCTGGCACGGGCCTCGTCTGCACTCTCAGGAGCACTACATGTGTCAAAGGCATTTTGGGCTGTGGCACTTGCTCCAGGATTCCCGAAACTGGGGGTGGGGGTTCTCTCGTGCTCTCCTTGCCAAGGTAGGTGCCAGGAGAGGAGGTGGAGGAAGTGGTTGCATGCGTCCCTTTCGTCATCAGTGCCCCCATGAGATGGGCCTGCTAGTGTGCGCATTTTACAGGTGTGACCTAGGCTGGCCCAGGGTGGGAGGTGCAGAGCCGATGTCGGGTCTGACACCACAGCCTGTGGGGAGGCACTACAGCTCTGCTCAGGCCATCGCTGCCCTCTCGGGGCTCACAGGCCTTTAGGGGAGACGTGGTTAAGACCAGGGAAACACTAAGAAAACACATATCACTGAACCTGAGGGCCTTGGGAGGAGTGGGTGTGCTCTGGGTGAGCCGGCACAGGCTGGTGGAGGAAGAGAACTCGAGGCGGGGTGGCCGTGCTCCTGCCCAGCCCTTCCCCACTGCTCTCCGCTGCCTCCCGGCCTCAGTGCATGGCAGGTTGTCTCAGAGGAACAAGCCTGCAAGCCCCTCTCTACCTCCTCCTCGCAGAACCAGGCCTTTGAGTACGAGTTTGGAGCCATGTATGCGTGGATGCTGTGCGTCTTCACCGTCATCATGGCCTACAGCATCACCTGCCCCATCATCGCGCCATTCGGTGAGTGGGCCCTGCCTGGAACTGGTCTCAGGTGCGTGGACAGCTCATTCCACCCAGCCTTCCAGGCAGCCGCTGCCAGGGCACTATGGACCTCTCACAGAGCAGACAGGAACCACGAGCTGCCAAGGAACCACATGTGACACCAACTTTCATCTTTCTGTTTTATTGCTAGAGAGTGCATGTGCTTGCCACACACACACACAGACACACACACACACACACACACACACACCCCTCCCGAGAGAGTGTGGTCACACTGCAATCCTTTTCTCTCTATTCCTTCAGTCCATCTGGATTTGGAGCATGCATATACAGGTGCCTGGCGTGTTTTCCCAAGCTGCAGGGCAGGGGATCTAACTGCAGTCAGCCATGTGCTCAGGGCCAGCCCTTGTTTCATTCCTAAATGAATTCCTTCTATTGGCCTCCCAGCTATGACCTCTCTTAGGACTTCTGGTCTGAAGCTCTCTGCCAGTTGGCCATATCTGTCTGTAGCTCTGTCTTCCTTTAAAATTTACTCATTTAGGGTCCAGCAGATGGCATAATGTTTATGTCACTGGACTCCCATGTTGTCAACTGCAGTTCGAGGCCTGGACCCAGCAGCTTAAAAGTCACACCAGGTGCATATGCATGTGTGCTCAAAATCCTGAGAGGAGAACACAGGAGAAGGAATTATGGCATGGCCATTCCCCCGGGGGGAAGGGGGTGATTTCTTGCTTTCTGTCTCTCTGTCTCTCTAGTGAGTGCATGCGCCCTATAGCAAAAATCTCTCTCAAAAAAAAAATCTGTAAAATTTATTCATTTATTTCTTCTTTTTAAAAAAGATTTATTTATTTAATGACATTTATTATAATAATAATTATTATTCTTTTTAATTTGGCCAGAGAGAGAGAAAGGGAAAGGGGGAAAGCAAGCCACCAGTTTCGGCCACGTGGGAATCCAGCGCCCTTAGCCACCATGCCACCTGCTGGCCCCACTTGTTTATTTCTTCTATGAGAAAGAGATAGAGACAAAGAGATAGCACCCAACAAGATCTCCAAGCCATGATCCACGCCCCAGTCTCAGTCAGCTTTCACGGGCATGCGTGTGTGTGAATGCCTAGCATACCCGCGGAGGTCCCAGGATGCACTCTGGGTCTTTCCCATGTGGATCCAGTGTGTTACTGCTGCACTGCGGCCTGACCATGCTTTCTTGGTTGGTTCTCTAGCAGCACGGAAGCCATCGGCAGTGGTAACAATCAAAGCTGTCACACGGATGCTCTGGCACTGGCCAGCTGCTGTTGCCCCCGAAGTAGATTATCATGATTAATCCTCACTAGTCCTGTGGGCAGGGCTTGTCCTATGCCCCTTTCACAGATGAAGAACTTCATGTGTTGTTTGTAAGGAGAGATCCAGGATTCGAACTTAGGACTATTGGCTTCCAAGGTCAAGGTCTTGGCTACTAAAATAAAACCTCAGGGGACCAGCAGTTAGCGTAATGGCTATGTCGCTGGACTCCCACGTGGCCGACCGAGGTTCGAGTCCCGGACCTGGTGGCTTAAACTCACGCCGGGCGCGTGTGCATGCGTGCCCAAGATCCCGAGAGGAGAATGGAGGAGAAGGGATTGCGGCATGGCCATCCCCCCTGGGGGGTGATTTCTCGCTTTCTGTCTCTCTGTCTCTCTCTGTCTGGCGAGCGCATGCGCCCTATAGCCAAAACCTCTCCAAAAAAAGAAAAAACAAACAAACAAAAAAACCCCCAAAAACATCAGGAACTGGCAGGGATATGGAAGGTGCTGGCAGGAAAGAGAACACCCAAGACACTGTTGGCAGTGCTAGCTGAAGTGCGGGGTAGAAGTTTTAGTTTCCCTGTGTACTTCCTTGTTCAATTTAAAAAATAAGAGCCTGGCATAATAGAAGAGGTAGCGCCCCCTGCTGGGCCACCCCTGGGGTACGACCCTTGGGCGTTTGTGGCCTGTGATGTGGGCAGGAGGCCAGCCAGGGTGGGAGGAGGGCAGAAGAGAGTGGGAGGACTGAGGGAGGGGAGGACCAGGGAGAGTTTGGGGCCGGGTATCTGAGCGAAACTGCCTTTCCCCAGACGATCCTGGGATTTCCGTGTTCCAGGACACCATTACGCCCTTGGGGTCAGAAACCAGGACGGGGAGAAAGAGGGAGACTAAGAGAGAGAGGGAGGGATGTGCATTTTGCCCAAGTTTGGGTCCATGTGGTCAAACAGCAGCCCTCGCTCTCCTGAGAAGGGGCAGAGGCACCCCTGCATCTCAACGGGGTCTCCAGCTCACAGCCCACCTCTGCAGGCCTCATCTACATCCTGCTCAAGCACCTGGTGGACCGGCACAACCTCTACTTCGCCTACCTTCCAGCCAAGTTGGAGAAGAGGATCCACTTGGCCGCAGTGAACCAGGCCTTGGCAGCCCCCATCCTGTGCCTCTTCTGGCTCTACTTCTTCTCCTTCCTGCGCCTAGGTGAGGGCCCCTTTGGACCTGGGGGGACCAGCTCCAGGCCTCACATTCCCTCATCCGCACCAGCCGGTCAGATCCCTTACTCTTTAATAGCATCCCCTGGGGGCCAGTGAGAACCTGGTGCCCTGGGAGAGGGCTGGCTGGGTTGGTGCTGCCAGCCCAGCTCCTGCACGAGAGCAGCCAAGGCCTGGCCCGTTGCCCTGACATTCCTGTGGAGGAGACAGCTCCTGTATCAGCTCCGGGCAGCAGACCAGAAGTGATGGGGCTGATCCGGCTTATCCTTTGCCGGCTGCGGGTGGGCCCAGGTCCTCACACCTGGCAGCGGGAAGGAGGTGGGGACGTGCAGGAGGGAAAACTGACACTCTTGGGAAAAAGAGAAAGGCAGAAGCCATGCGGGTCTCTCCCCAGTCAGCCATGGGTACCCTCTGTCCTCCCTAGCCCGAGGGCGGGAGACTGGAGGGGACACACCTGGTGAGCGAGCTGGCAAACTACCATGGACTGGGCATCCCAGAGCCCGAGCCCTGACTAGGGACGATGCTGGTCATTCAATGGGGCCACTCTGTGCTCCTGGCTGTGAAGACAGTGCCCAGACTGAAGGATGGGTTAGGCCTTTCCCGGAGTGATGCGAGGTTAGGCCTTTCTTTTATTCTGCCTGGGGGAGAAGTCACCTGCAGGTCTTGCACCAGGTGCAGAGGAGGGTGGTAGCAGCCCCTCGCCACCCTCCCCCAAGCTGCCCCTTCCCTCCCAGGTATAAAGGCCCCCTCCACCCTGTTCACCTTCCTGGTCGTGCTGCTCACCATCCTGGTCTGCCTGGCCTACACCTGCTTCGGGTGCTTCAAGCACCTCAGCCCTCTGAACTACAAGGTAAGGCTCTCCCTCCTGCCCCTGCTGGCCAGGACCTGGAGGAAACGTGGTCAGGTCTCCTCACTCCACTCTACCCTCCCCTCTTCCTTCCCGTATCAACACAGTAACCGCCTCTACCCTCTCCTCTTCCTTCCCGTATCAACACAGTAACCACCTCCTCTGGGTTTTAGGATTTTGTTTTCCCCCTGGGAAAGGCGTGGGTAGTTGGCTGCCATGTGGGACTTCCCTCCCTGCACCGCCATCCCTGCTCCCTGCACTCACCCCCGCCCGCATCCTCTCGGGGTCTGCCACTGGGAGCTTGGTGCTCGCTGGTACTATTATTCTGGGTGTTAGGAGTCTGTCTGTTTAGAGGGTGTTAGTTCGGGGAGATCAGTTTTATTCGTCATTGCAAGTTTTTACCGTTACCTGCAGACAGAAGAATCAGCAAGCGACAAAGGAAACGAGGCCCACGTGCCTCCGCCATTCACGGTACGTCTCTGCTCGCCGCCCCTCCTTGCTCTGGCCTCAGGGGCCTCTGCAAACACGCTTTGACCATTTCTTGCTAAGACAGAAATGCCTTGGTCACGTGACAGGCATGTTTCTGAATTCACGTTGATGGAGAAGGGCCCTCGATCCCCCTGGATGCTTGGCCTGTGCATTTGAAGCCACAGCAGCCCGTGCGAAGGTTTTACCCTTGCTACAATGCGCGCGGGCCCCCTTAGTGTCAGCTCCTCGCTCGCCGTCCTCCTCTCATATTTAATGATTTAATGCCTAGTGAGTCTGGGGCTTTGGTGAAGCAACACGGTAAAGCCCTGTGGTCTGGTGATCTTTACCAAGAGCCCTGCCGGTGGCAGGTCCCCCACTAGGCACCAAGAGGGGGTCGAATTCCATCAATGAATGTGGCTCCTGCTTTGGGGGAAGGTGCTGTGTTCAAGACATCAGGCCTCCTTTCCCTCCTGATTCTCCTGCTTCCAGCTTCTGGGGTCCTGCTCCTGGGGTGCTCTGCTCGGCTCTGATTAAGGAGCAGAGCCCAGTGGCCTTCCTGACAGACCCGACGCTAGGACAGCAGCCGAGCTCATAAGCAGTGTACTTTCCAGTGGCTGCCTCCCAGGTGTCAGCGTCTTATCAGCGGCTGTCCTTGGTCAGCCCCAGGGGAAAAGGTCCTCAGAAAGGTTTATTACCCAGAGACACACCCGTGGCTCAGCCAGGCAAAGGGAGGGAGGTGCAGGTGGATGGTGTAACTCTGTCCTTCTCAGCCTGGGTCTGGGGACGAGTGGAGCAGGGCTCTGGGCCCTCGGCCAGTGGTGGGAGCCTGGGATTGGGTGGAAAGGCAGGGTACAGATGGCTTCCACATGCCGGAAGTCCCGCCGATGGCATTCCAAGCCTACCCATGGACGTAGACTTGTTGCCTACATGAAGTGAGAAGTCCTCCTAGAATCCAGATCTGGGAAATTTTTTTTTTTCGCTGAGAAACAGAGACACTTGCTTCTGTGTGATAATATGAACCTGTGCAAATGATTCTGTTTTACCCTGGCTGCTGGGAACTTCCGCAGTTGGTATATTTTGGGTTCTGACATCCCAAATTAATGTTGTAATTTTGTCTGTCTTTTTTTTTTTTTTTAAGTTTTTTTTTTTTTTTTTCGCCATTGAGCATGTGTGTCACCAGAGAGAGGGAGAGAGAGGAAAAGTGAGAAATCACTCCCCAGTAGGGATGGCCATGCCACAGTCCCTTCTCTGTTCTCTTGGGATTTGGGGCATGCACGCACATGTACCTGGCATGATTTTCAAGCTGTTGGGTTCAGGACTTGAACAAGGCTGGCCATGTGGGAGTCTAGTGCCTTAACCACCATACAAATAAATGCCAGCCCCTTGTCTGTGTCCTTTATGAGCAGGTATGTGTCCTGCAGTGGGGGGACGTGGTATGGAACCTCATGCCCATGCACACTGAGCACTAACTCCCCCATTTGCTGACAGCCCTATGTGCCTCGGATTCTGAACAGCTTGGCCTCGGAAAGGACAGCCCTGTCCCCGCAGCAGCAGACCTATGGTGCCATCCACAACATCAGTGGGACTCTCCCTGGGCAGCACCTGGTCCAGAGCCCAGCAGACAGCATGGCTGCTGCCTACCAGGAGGCCTGAGGCTGAGCAAAGTGCCCGGAGAGCCTGGGAGCAGAGAAGCCACAGGAGAACTGGCTGACCACGGCCCCAACCAAGTTCACGCCTTCTTTCCATCAGTTTCAAGTCTCTCTGCTCTGCAGAGATGGAGCCAGGCACGTCTAGCTCAGACCCTGTTTGAGGGGCAGTGTTGGCCTGCCAGCTGAGGGCCACTGGCAGCGGCCCTTCTTCTGGTAACAGCAGCAGTGAAGGGAGAAGGTGCAGCTCCCCGCCCTCACTGAGGCTGTGCAGTTCCCAGGCCCCCTCCTACATGAGCTGCCAGCTCTGTGGCTGGGATGCCGTCCCTGGTGGTTTGTAGCCAAGATCACCTGCTGGAATTGTGCCCCTAGGCCAATTAGCCCTGAAGACTATATTGGGTAATAGAAATGGACCAGTCGGGGGGAGTGGTACTGCCTCCTGAGCACCCACACACTGCCTGGCCCCTGTAGGCACACACGGCTGATAACCAAAGAGCCCGCAGCAGTCCCAGGGCTGACGCGGGGACTAGATGGGGCCCAGCGCCCTCTCCTTGTGTTCATTCACCTGCCCTGGCCCAGCCCAGCCATGGCCAGTGTGTTCCGCACAGGCCTTTCCCAGCTATGCACTCGCCCTCCCACCCTGTCCTTAAGGTTTTGTTTTGGTATTGCGTTGTCAGGGATGCTGTCTGGGCCAGGGTCACCCAGCAGCAGGCAGGGACAATGAGGACCTCTAATAAAGTGCCCATAGGACCACACTGCTGAGATGCAATGTCTCCCGCCCCCTGCCGGCTGGTGGGCAGGGCTCTGCGCAGGCGGCTCCGGGGCGGCCAGCCCCTCACTGGTCAGCTGCTCCAGGATAGGAGGGCGAGTGCTCAGGGCCTCCTGGGAGCACAGGAGAGGAACAGGAGGGTGACTGGCCTGGCACAGGACTGGCCACTGCCTTTGACACGTGACCCCATCCAGAAGGACGCAAAGCCCCTTGTTTTTTTCCCTCTTGGTGGGATGCTGAGGCTGGGAGGCTGGTCGGACTTTTGCTCAAGAAGCCTCCTTCCTACTGCCTCCAGTGTGGGACAGAGGCTCCAGTCAGCTGGTGGGGCAGAGGTGGGATGGGGCAGAGAGTCAGAGGCTCCCTCCACCCCAATAGGTTGGAGTCCTGACCCTGGCTTGAATCTTGTATGTCCTTGTGTGCCCAAAATTTAGAGAGCAGAATGGAAGAGCAGGGCTTGTGGGTAGCCATTCCGGAGGGAGTGATTTCTCACTTTCTCTCTGTTTCTGTCTCTCTGGCAAGCCCACATGCCCTAGAGCAAAAATCTAACAACAACAACGTGAAATCATTTATTATCAAAGCCATGTTGCTCAACACGGTATGTGTGGGGTGGGGTGGGGGCGAGCGTGGAGGACGGAGGACGAGCGTGGGCGGGGACAGAAGCGAGCTCCTTCCTCTCAAGGGCTTCTTCCCGAGCAAAGCCTGGGAGCACGGGTGTCCCGGGGCTCACTGCTGCCCCAGCAGCCCCACGAACTTGCGGATGTCCTGGGCCAGCAGCTCCGGCTCCTCAAAGGCAGCGAAGTGGCCCCCGCGGGCCATGTAGGAATAGGAGATGAGCTTCGGGTACTTGCCCCGCACCCACTTTTCTGGGCAGTGTATCAGCTCAGAAGGGAAGGCAGCATAGCCGGTGGGCACGTAGACCTTCAACCTGTAGGGGACAACCATGAGAGGGGAGGCTGTGGCCCTGCGCTGCTCGGGGGGTCAGCTAGCCCACCCACACAGAGCCATAAAGAAAAGGTTTTATCTATGGCCTCCTCCCTGTTCCAACTCACTGAGGGTCCTCTCTTTGCTGAGAGGGTCGCCTAGGCAGGGGCAGTGACCCGCCTCCAGCTCTCCACTTTTTGGTCCCCTTACCACTTGCTGTCACATGAGGTCTCCATATGGGATCTGGAAATCCCAGGACCACCAGGGCCACTTCAGGCAGCATCCTGGCTGGAGGGAGCCCTGAGGGACATTTGGGCACCAGGCCTGGTATTCCCTCCACAAGCCAGTTCTAAAGGCATAGGGATTTCTCTAGACACCCTCAACCTCCATTGTTCTCATCCAAAGGCCCCCTGAATGGGCACGGCTTACTGATCCCAGCGTCGCATGCCCTCCCGAGTTTGAGACTGGGTCACTCCCTGCTCCCAGCCCCAGAGCTGCCCCTCCAGGCTCAGCCAAGCTCACTGCTCATGCTTGTGGGCCATGAAGCCCTGTCCCAGGTTCTCCTTGTAGAAGCGCTGGGAGGAGACGATGGCGCCTGTTGTCCAGTAGATCATGATGTTGGTCAGTAGATCGTCCAGGGAGTACTTCCTGGGGGAGAGAACATGAGGCCCGCGCTCAGTGCCGGATGCAGGCGTACGGAAAGAGCCACAGTCTTCAGGCTGTGTGCATGTGCCACGTCCCGCCCCTCTGCCTTCCCTCTTCCGACCTCACTGAGACGAGGGGGGTTAATCCCCGTGCTACAGGTAGGCTGGGCCTGGGGTCACTGGCTACTATGAAGACGGGTAATGCAGAGTGCTGACTACGTACAAGGCACCACAGTCCAAACTCCTTACACGTATTTCATTCAGTTATTCTTCTCAACAACCTACGGGACATACGTGCTATTATCTTCATTTTACTGTAAATGGAGACCCTAGGAATCAAGCCCAGGTGGTCTGGATCCAGATCACACGTTCTTTATCATCTTGAGCTCCACAGTCCTTCCCTGCCCTCCCCCCATCTGCACGATGCTGTCTACATTTTTCACGAGGAGCTCTACCCCATGGCTCTAAATATTGGGTCACTAGAAAAGTCATGATGTATTTTTGCATAGAAACACAGAAAAATACATCATGACTTTTCTCAATGACCCATTATAATACTAACTCCTAACTCCACCAAGAGCAGCTGGAGCGGAGATATTTCAACTCCACCTGCAGCCTGGGCCAAGTCACCAGTTACCCAGCAATTTCCACCTGGACATCCGGCCACACCTGCCATTCAATGTGTTCATGACCAACAGGAGCCACACACACTTGTGTACACGTGGACTGGCACACAGATACGTGTACAACCACATGTTCTTGTGCACCCATGCACACACAGAGGCTCCCCTCTTCCTCTATTCCCTGGCTTGCTGAATGGCACCCCCAACACCCTGCAGCTGAGTGAGAAACACGAGTCACTGTGGAGCTCCCTCCCACGGTCCCACAGAGCCCCGACTGCTCCTGTTCCTCCATCCGGTCCCCTCATCCCTGCTGCTCCTGTCATCGCTGCCAGAATTAGAGAACACGTACTGGCCTCCTGCCTGGTCCCTCAGCTCTGGGGCAGCTAGTTGATTTATCCGAAACCAATTCACTGAAAATGGCCAATTTGGGGACCAGTAGTTGGTACATCGCTGGACTCCCATGTGGTTGACCGCAGTTTGAATCCCAGACCTGGTGGCTTAAACTCATGCCAGGCACGTGTGCGTGCGTGCCCAAGATCCCGAGAGGAGAATGGAGGAGAAGGGATTGCGGTGTGGCCATCCCCCCTGGGGGGTGATTTCTCTCTTTCTGACTCTCTGGCGAGCACATGCACCCTATAGCAAAAAACTTCTCCCCAAAAAAAGAAAAGGAAAGAAAACAGCCAGTTTGCTGAATTCCCTTGTTTACTTCAGCTATATGGAAGTGCCTAGTTCATTGTATCTGTATCCCCAGAATCACATTATTTTTTGTTTTTAAGTTTTTTTTGTTTATTTGCCATAGTGCATAGCGCACGTGCACTTACCGCAGAGAGACAGAGAGAGAGCGAGAGGTCACCACCCAGGGAGGACGGTCACACTGGGTCCCACAAATCACAAGCCCAGCATGATTTTCAAGCCATTGGTCTAGGACTTGAACCTTGGTTGAGCACGTGGGAGTCCAGTGCCCTTCACCACCACGCCACCTCCCGGCCCCTTGGGAACATATTCTTATCCTTACTCCCTCCTCTGCAGTTCTGAAGCTACAGTAACAGCAGCGTGGAGTAGGGACACAGAGAAAGTGGTCATCCTTTAAATTCACTTTTGATGACAAATGAAAACCAGTCAATTGAAACTAAGCGATTACAATCAACCTGTAAACTCCGAGCTGACTTTCAGTTAAGGACTTCCATCTCCCTGGCAACTCTGACCACAGCTTGAAAACTACAGGCACCGTTTCCACAGCCTGTGTGAGAACCCAGAGCTGATGCTGTGTCCCCCGCTCAAAGCTTTGGCGCTCCCTGTGGCTGGGGCAGGAGCTACCGGAGGGATCGTGGTGGGCATCGAGGGCTTCACATCTGGCCCCTGATATTTGTGTGTGAGGAGCAGGGCCAGGTCCCTTGCCAGGGTAGTCCTAATAGACTGCTGATCCTGAGTCTTTCTGAATGCAGGGGTAGGGCCATAGATCCCTGAAGGGCTTGCTGAGGCCTAGACAAACGAGTTCCTGGTCTGGCCTCAACGTACATGCTTCACTTTCTGGAAAAACCCCTCTTTCCAAGCACATCTTGCATTTTTATTGCTTTTGTCTTTGCCCAAATTCTCTTCCTCCACATAGTAAACTCCTACTCATCCTTCAAGGCCCAGATCAAATACATCTTCCCATTCATATCCTCTCTCCGCCCCTTAGACAACGTGAATTTTTCTTTCTGAGGATTCCCACAGTTCTTTGCATGACCCTTAGAGGTCATTCATTTGCCATCTATTTATTGAGCACTTACTAGAGCCCAGCCCAGCTCTAGGCACTGGGGCTGGAGCACGGCCCGCATAGTGTTCCCACGCCCAAGGTGGCATCTGGTCTCCATTCACCCTCCACTCCCCATCTGTGTCTGGTGCTCTGTGGGTCACCAATGGAATAAAGAAAGGGATGAGCCCTGGAGAAGGCGGTCAGAGCTGACCTCGTCGAAGCCCGGGCCAGGCCAGGGAGCTGGAAGTCATGTGCTGTAAAGGCCACAGCCTCTGGAGATGTGACAGCCTTTTCAGCCTTCCTGCAGCCACCTTCTGGGATTGGTGTCCACTAAACAGTCATGTGGTCCTGATGCCAGCTCCCCAGGGATTCGGGAGGAGCAGCCCTGGCTGCTCTTGGCAATACGGGGCAGTCGCGGCCCTCCGGCCTCCCTGATGCCAGGAGGGCCGTTCAGTGGAGGGTGCATGGGCAGCAGAGCCGTTGCTACACTCGAATATGTCCTCTCAAAACACGCGTAGTAAGAGTTGGTGGTGATAGAGTGAAGAGGATGGAAACTTAACCCACTCTGGTGCTGAAAGGGGTCTTCGGGAGGAGGTTAGGGTAAGGCCATCCCACGATTGAAGCCTGGTGGGTTTATAAGGAGAGGAAGGAGATGGAGACAGGGACAGACACACGCACTCTTGCCCTCTGCTGTTACCCGCAGCAAGACAACCTTCACCAGATGCAGCCCCTAGACCTCTGACCTCTAAGCTGTAAGTCAAATGACCCTCTATTTGTAGTAATCACCCAGTTTCAAGTATTCTGTTATTAGCGACTGAATGGGGGAGAGCGCCCTGCAGCCTATTCCTGACCACCCCACTGTGAGGCTCAGACCAAGCCACTGGGCTCCTCATTCAAACTGGTCACAGAGGAGGGAGGATAGTGGGAAAGCAAAAACTAGACTTGCTAGCCACCCCGTGCACAAGACCCAGGGATGAGGGTACAGAGCTGGTGTGGGCTGCACGTGGCTGCAGGGTGCAGGGTCCTAAGAACAGGGGCAGGCGGGGGGCCTCACCTCTCCAGGCCTCCATCCTCCAGGCTGCGGAAATCAGAGTTGGTCCATGTAGAAAACTTCTCTAGAATATAGGCCGCCAGTCCCACGGGAGAGTCATTCAGAGCACAGCCTGGTGGAGAGAGAAGGGAGGGCCTCAGGCCTGGGGACAGGGAGCTGGCCAAGAGGACTGAAGGGCGGTGTTGGCTCCACAGAGCAGCAACATGGGCAGGAAGCCCAGGCCTGAGAGCAGCCCTGCCTTAGCTCTGGGGGCGCTCATGGACTGACTTCCTGAACCCTCGGCCTCAGCATCCTCATCTGATAACTATAGAAGCCACCAATTTGCGGGAACCAGCAGTTAGCGTAATGGCTATGTCGCTGGACTCCCACGTAGTCCACTGTGGTTTGCATTCCGGACCCGGTGGCTTAAAACTCACGCCAGGCGTGTGTGTGTGCGTGCCCAAGATCCCGAGAGGAGAATGGAGGAGA